GCAAAAATTAGTTGGGTGTGTGTGGTGCATGCCTGTAATCCCAGCTACTTGGGAGGCTGAGGTGGGAGGGTCACTTAAGCCTGGGAGCCAGAGGTTGTAGTGAGCTGAGATCCCACCACTGCACTCCATCCTGGGTGACAGAGTGAGACACAGTCTCAAAAAAAAAAAAAAAAATCTACTCACATAGGTTGCAAGATGCCCACTGGGAAATGCCTAACTTAGCTTCCAGTCACTTAATCCTTCTGAACTTTATTTCGGATTGTGGTGATGTTGGAGATATCAATAAAATTCACCATTTATAAAAAGCACATCACTTGCCAGGAAGAGTTCTAACTTATTTCATATGTTCTCTGCAATCATAATCCCCCAGGCTGAGGGTCTCCTTGCTGGAACCTAAAGACCCCTCATCACACAGACTTCGGAGCCTGGAGCCCTGGCCTCCACTGAGCCTCTGGGGGGCTGTACTGTCGGGGCCACAAGCCACTGACCACCCCTGCATGTATTAGTTAGTATGGGAAGTCTTCAAAGAGAGGCCCACCAGGACTGAGTGGAAACAAAGCCGGCCGACTTCCCAAAACGCCCTTTCTTTTAAGGGTTGAAAGCACTTTGAAATATGGCACTAGACAAGGATGCCCTCTCTCACCACTCCTATTCGATATAGTACTGGAAGTTCTAGCCAGAGCAATCAGGCAAGGAAAAGAAATAAAGGGCATTCAAATAGGAAAGGTGGAAGCCAAATTGTCTCTATTTGCAGACGACATGATAGTATACCTAGAAGACCCCATCGTCTCAGCCCAAAAACTCCTGAAACTGATAAGCAACTTCAGCTGTGTTAGGATACAAAATCAAAGTGCAGAAATCATAAGCATTCCTATACACCAATAACAGACTTAAAGAGAGCCAAATCAAGAATGAACTGCCATTCACAATTGCTACAAAGAGAATAAAATACCTAGGAATACAACTAAAAAAGTAGGTAAAGGGCCTCTTCAAGGAGAACTACAAACCACTGCTCAACAAGAGAGGACACAAACAGATGGAGAAACATTCCATGTTCATGGTTAGAAAGAATCAATATCATGAAAATGGCCATACTGCCCAAAGTAACTTACAGATTCAATGCTATCCCCATCAAGCTACCAATGACCTTCTTCACATAACTGGATAAAACCACCGTAAACTTCATATGGAATCAAAAGAGAGCCCACATAGCCAAGTCAATTCTAAGCAAAAAGAACACAGCGGGAGGCATCACACTGCCGGACTTCAAACTATACTAAAAGCCTACAGTAATCAAAACAGCACGGTACTGGTACCAAAACAGAGATATAGACCAATGGAACAGAACAGAGGCCTTGGAGGCAACACAACACATCTACAACCATCCGATCTTTGACAAACCTGACAAAAAGAAGCAATGGGGAAAGGATTTCCTGTTTAATAAATAGTGTTGGGAAAACTGGCTAGCCATGTGCAGAAAGCAGAAACTGGACCCCTTCCTGACACCTCACACTAAAATTAACTCCAGATGGATTAAAGACTTAAACATAAGACCTAACACCATAAAAACCCTAGAAGAAAATCTAGGCAAAACCATTCAGGACATAGGAGTAGGCAATGACTTCATGACCCAAACACCAAAAGCATTGGCAGCAAAAGCCAAAATAGACAAATGGGACCTAATCAAACTCCACAGCTTCTTCACAGCAAAAGAAACAGTCATTAGAGTGAATTGGCAACCAAAAGAATGGGAAAAAAATTTTGCAGTTTACCCATCTGACAAAGGGCTGATATCCAGAATTTACAAAGAACTAAAACCGATTTACAAGAACAAAACAAACAAGCCCATTCAAAAGTGGGAAAAGGATATGAATAGACACTTTACAAAAGAAGACATACATGAGGCCAACAAACATATGAAAAAATGCTCATCATCACTATCATTAGAGAAATGCAAATCAAAACTACATTGAGATACCATCTCACGCCAGTTAGAATGGCAATCATTAACAAATCTGGAGACAGGCCAGGTGCAGTGGCTCACGCCTATAATCCCAGCACTTTGGGAGGCCAAGGCAGGTGGATCACGAGGTCAAGAGATCGAGACCATCTTGGTCAACAAGGTGAAACCCCGTCTCTACTAAAAATACAAAAATTAGCTGGGCATGGTGGTGCGTGCCTGTAGTCCCAGTTACTCAGGAGGCTGAGGTAGGAGAATTGTTTTTGAACTCAGGAGGCAGAGGTTGCAGTGAGCCAAGATCACGCCATTGCACTCCAGCCTGGGTAACAAGAGCAAAACTCCATCTCAAAAAAAAAAAAAATCTGGAGACAACAGATGCTGGAGAGGATGTGGAGAAATAGGAACACTTTTACACTGCTAATGGGAGTGTAAATTAGCTCACCCATTGTGGAAGACATTGTGGCGATTCCTCAAGGACCTAGAAATATATACTGGGTATATATCCAAAGGACTATAAATCGTTCTACTGTAAGGACACATGTACACGAATGTTCCTTGCAGCACTATTTACAATAACAAAGACCTGGAGCCAACCCAAATGCCCATCGATGATAGATTGGACAGGGAAAATGTGGCACATAAACACCATGGAATATTATTCAGCCATCAAAAACGATGAGTTCCTGTCCTTTGTAGGGACATGGATGAACTTGGATACCATCAATCTCAGCAAACTGACACAATAACAGAAAATGAAATACCGCACGTTCTCACTCATTGGCGGGTGTCGAACAATGAGAACACATGGACACAGGGAGGGGAGCACTACACACGGGTCTGTTGGGGGGAATAGGGGAGGGACAGCGGAGGGTGGGGAGTTGGGGAGAGATAGCATGGGGAGAAATGCCAGATATAGGTGAAGGGGAGGAAGGCAGCAAATCACACTGCCATGTGTGTACCTATGCAACAATCTTACTATCTTGCATGCTCTTCACATGTACCCCAAAACCTAAAATGCAATTAAAAAAAAAAAAGAAAGAAAGCGCTGTTCTGTGTTTGGCCACGCGGGGGAGCTGCTCCACAAAACTGGTAAATAAGCCACCCCACGGGAAAAGGCCGCGCGGGCTGCCAGCTTCCCCGCTGAGTGCAGGCAGGGTCCTGAGCCCTGACGTTATCTGCAGTAGATCAACCTCATGCCACTGATGAAGAAACCATAGCACAGAGAGGTTTGGTAACTTGTCTGAGGTCACAAGGGTGCAGGATCGGGTGGAGGGGGCGGCAGAGGGACTTCCTGTAATCTGACCCCAAAGAGTGTGCCCCTCACCCCTCTGACTCCTGGCTCCTGAGAGCTCCCACTGTGGCTGGCACTCAGTCCCCCGCAGCAGGGGTGGAGGAGTCTCAGGGTCTCCCCACCCACTGCTGCCAGGCTCTGGCCATGCCAGCCAAATTGTTCGCGTTCGCCCAGTTCTGCTGACATGCTACCTCCACGCCTTTGCAGGAGATGGAGTGCCCTCTGCCTGGAATGCCTTTCCCCATCAGCTTCATTCCAAAACCAACTTCTCATTGTCCGGTCCTGCCCAATGTCACCTCTTCTGTGAAGCCCTCCCCATCCATCTCCAAGCGGATCAGCTCCTCCAGCCTCTGGGCCACCCTGTGCCCTTCGTACACACCTGTCTTCCACCAGACTCAGGCTCCTCATGCCTGGGGCCCAGCCAGATCTTCCCTGTGTCCCCAGAGTGCAGCCAGGGTCGGGCAGACTGTGCCCCATAAGAAATACATTTTACTGGCCAGGCGGGGTGGCTCATGCCTGTAATCCCAGCACTTTGGGAGGACGAGGCAGGCGGATTGCCTAAGCTCAGGAGTTCGAGACCAGCCTGGGCAACATGGTGAAAACCTTATTTCTACTAAAAAAAAAAAAAAAAAAAAAAAAAGAAACAAGGCATGGTTGCATGTGCCTGTAGTCCTAGCTACTCGGGAGGCTGAGGCAGGAGAGTTGCTTGAACCCGGGAGTCGGAGGTTGCAGTGAGCAGAGATTGCACCACTGCACTCCAGCCTGGGTGGCAGAGCGAGACTCCGTCTCCAAAAAAAGAAAAAGAAAAGAAAAGAAATACATTTAATCTGAGTAGACTTACAAGGCCGAGTGTAGAGAACTCGAGTATCCTCATAGTTACTACTTTTATTATATTCTGTTTTATTTTAGTCTGCCCAATTCTATTCTTCTCTATTTTTCTATTCCACTCTTTCTTTTTAAGAATCATACTAGTCTTGATTCACTGAATTGATTTCTTGACCCAAATGGGCTGCAAGTTTTTTTTTCTCACAGTTTGAAAAAAAACCAGGTCTAGATTAAGACCCCTTCTGCCCTCCAGGTGCCACCTCTTCACTTCCACCGTGTCTTTCCCTGGCCAACTACTTCCTTATACACCTGTCACTGTCACCTCCTCCAAGAAGCCTCCTCAAATCCCTCAGAGCCCAGTCCCATGCTTTGCCGGCTCTACACGCCCCTGCTTCCCAGGATGGTCCCAATCTCTGTGCCATAACCACCCCTGCTTACTCAGCTGTCTCCCCTCACACAGTCATCCCCTAGAGCAGCCTCTGTGTCTGCCCCATTCACTGCTGAGACCCAGCTTCCAGCCACAATAGGTGCTTGATAAGTCCAGGAAGTGATCAATCAATCAACAGACTCCACAAAACCAAGAGTGGCTCTAACTCCCTGCCTGGGGCTCAGGTACTGCTACACCTTCATTTCTCTCATTTTCCCAGGCCACAACCACAGACACCCTTTGCTCCCACTCCACTGGAATCGGAGCTGAAAATCTGGTTGCAGTGCTGGCCAGCTGTGTGACTTAGACTAGTTACTTACCTTCTCTGAGCTGCAAAATGGAGACTTCAGCAGGACTGGCTCACAAGGCTGTGGCTGGGTTAAAGTCAGGGCCATTGTCAAGCGCTCAGCCCAGAGTCTGATGTGGAGCGAGCCCCCCATCAGTGGCTGTATGACTTCCAGGCTGCCCACAGGAGGAAGTCACTTGAGTATACTTACTTTTCAGGCCGTCCACACTGCAAAGCTGCTAGGGATTTCTGCAGCCCCTGCTTCCCGGGTCCCAAAGAGGTGGTGCCTAGCCCCACCAGGCGGCCCATGTCTCTTGAAAGTCATGGCCAGCTGCCGGCCGTGGTCATCCAGGTGTCCTGGTGGGAGGACACAATGGCTGAGCGAGCCCAGCCAAAGTGTCTCATGATAAACAGTAGCACGTGGGCAGCAGATGCAAGGTGGGCACCAATTCACCTCCTCTCTCTGATGCCTCACAGGCTCAGGAGAAGAGGGTGTTGCCCCAGTTTTTGACCAGCAGGGCTGCTGCTGGGCAGTAGCCAGGATTGACAGGGCCCACGAAAGCAGTGACAGTGTTCTTGTGGGTCAGGAATGTGGCCAGGGCAGGAGGGGGGGTCACAGCCTGTAGGGAGGACCACGGAAGCCAGCCATGAGCCCAGCAGCAGTGATAGGTCCTGGTTGGATTGGTCCATGGTCAGCTGTGTGGCCACGCAGGGGAAGACCTGGGCAAAGGTGGAGGGACCCAGTACCATCAGGGTGAAGGACCCTGCCCCACAGGCCTGCTGTGGGAGGGAGGGCATCCCAAAGCACCGCAGAGAAGAGTGGCTGTCCTTGGATGACTGAGAGTAGACCCCTACCATGGGCCCTGGCAGGGCAGGGAGGGCTTCCTGTACAGCAGCATCTGGCACCAATCTTCAGGGTACAAGCTCCCATGCAGTCCTGGGAAAGGGTGGAATAAGGACAATTTTGCTTTCTAGCATTTTTTGCCAGCACTGTCTGTGTAACTGTGAGGTAGACACCCCTCCCACAGTCTCAGTCTCCTCATTGGTAAAATGAGGGACTTGGGCCCATGATTGCTAAAGACCCCTGAGCTTTGGGACCTAACACCCTCCCCATGCCTGGCCCACAGCCTCATGATGACCATGTGAAGTCCTGGGCTGGAATTTAATCACGAGGTGTGTGCTATGGAGTCAGAGCCAGCCAGACCCGCTGCCCTGATCCCTGTCTCTGTGACCCTGGATCAATCTCTGAAGCTTTCTGTGCCTCATTTTCCTGCTCTGTAAGATGTGGACAATGAAGCCTACTTTATGGAGTTATTGTGATTAAATGACATCATGTGAAGCTTGTAGGACAATCCCTGGCACTTAGGTGTTCAATAAATCCTACCTCTTTTTTTTTTTTTTTAGACAAAGTTTCACTCTTGTCACCCAGGCTGGAGTGCAGTGGCACAATCTCAACTCACTGCAACCTCCAACTCCTAGGTTCAAGCAATTCTGCCTCAGCCTCCTGAGCAGCTGGAACTACAGGTGTGCACCACCATGCCTGGCTTGTGTGTGTGTGTGTGTGTGTATTTTTAATAGAGACGGGGTTTCACTGTGTTGGCCAGGCTTGTCTTGAACTCCTGACCTCAGGTGATCTGCCTACCTCTGCCTCGGCCTCCCAAAGTGCTGGGATTACAGGTGTGAGCCACTGCGCCTGGCCTAAATCCTACCTCTTTCAACCTATGACTGATTTCTTCCTTTACCATCCTCCAAGGTAGGTCAAGTTCTCCTAGTGCTTTCTGAGCTTCCCCTCCTCTTCTCCTCCAAGCCCAGCACTGTTTCACAGTCCTGGACTCTCTTGGATTCAGCCCGCCCTGGGGCTTAAGCACATGCCCAGCACGGGAAGCCCACCACGTGGTGCTTGACGGGAGTTGTGGCTGAAGCATTTACAGTGCAGATGCACCTCCTGTCTCTGCTGTCCCTCACAGACCAGTGCAGGCAGAGGTCTTTCTACCCCCCATTTGCAGTACAGATGAGGAAACTGAGGGAACCTGATGAGGAGCTAGTAGAAAGATAGGATTTGACCCAAGTCTGTTCAGCTCCTCCCCACCCCACACATGACCTCATTGACCAGGACTCATGGATTCCACATTCTATCCCATCCTGATGCCCACCCTGAGACTCCAGAAGCCTGCTTGGCCTCTGCCTACATCCCTGCTATTGGCCATTCTCCACCCATGAGACTTAGCCATTACCCCTGCCCCACCATTTCTGCAGCCAATCGTCTCCCACTGTGGGTGTCCCAGGAAGGAAAAGATCCCATCTCACCCTTGAGAAACTGCCAGGCTGGTGAGGGGGCACATCCCACCCAAGAGTAGAGATGACCCCAGTAGGCAGCAGAAGGACAAGAAGGGAGGCCCTATGGGCTGAGAAAGGGCTCAAGGAGGGCTTCCCAGAGGAGACAGAGCTAGAACCCACCTTTGGAAATGTAGGTCAGAAGAGTAAGAGGAGGCTTCCAAATGCCAGCAGTGCTGGTCTGTGTAGAGTAGCTCCTTACAAACTATGCTCAGCCCAGAGGAATAGAAAGGCCTTGGAGCTACTCAGAGGAATTATGTTTATCTCCCATGAGCCCCCAAACTTGGACAAGATGCTTAATTTCTCTGAACCTCAGTTTTCTCATCTGTAAATGGAGATGAGAATAGCTGTGTGATAAAATTGTTGTAAAACTAAAATGTATAGCATGTCTTCAGTAAGGGTGAAGTAAGTAGGTACTTACTCAATGGAATAGTTCTTGTCACTGTCATCACCATCTTTAGATCTTTGAGGGGAGGCAGGTGTATTGCAGTGTCTAGAGAGCTAGACAGGGAGGTGGGAGGCTGGCATTTCATCCCCAGTCCTGCCTCTGTCCCAACCTAGGCCTCTGATCTCTAGGAGTAGCCAGTGTGCAGGGCCGGTCAAACCTAGGCCCTACTGGCCTATAATTCTACTGTTCTGCCAGCTCAGGGCTTGGTGACCTACCAGCCTTCTGCTGGACCCTCCCTTTTCTTCTACTGTGATTGCTCAAAGTGGTCTCCTAGCACCCGGGATGGGTTCCATCCCACTCCTCAGGATTAGAACCTCAGAGTGGCTGGGCAAGTTCTGGCCTCACAGAGATCATTTCAATTGATCATTTTCAATTGAAAACACAGTCATACACTGTGATAATAATGATAGCCCTCTCATCTCAACTTGTACTTTTGAAAGCATCTATATCCACTGCTTTGCCTGTTCCTCCCAGGGGCCCTGAGAAGGACTTTTTAACCCCTTTTACAGAGGAGGAAACTGTGACTCTGCGTGGGACAGTAACTTGTCCAAGTTCTCACCAAATGTTAGGACTGAACTGGCACTAGAGCTTGTCTTCCTGCCTCCTCGCCAAAGACAAAATTCACCTCTTTTTATTGATGCCTGAAACATCAGAGCTGAAGGATCCTTGGAGATATAAACTTCTAAACCAGTTCCTCTGTGTACAGATGGGGAGACAGGCACAGAAAGGAGCGTAGGTAGCCCTCAGTCACACAATGCTGCAGCAGGCTCCCCTGGCCCGAGGTCTTGCTGGCCATGCTCTGTATCCTGAGGACTCTGCAGTCAGTGGCCTGCAGGGGCTCACAGAGGGCTGAAGATCTTAGAAGGCCAGCACTGGGTCAAGGCAGGAGTTGGCTTTTAATCCCAGTTCTGTCGCTGATTTATGGGACAGAGTCTACAACCCTTTCTGTACCTCAGTTTTCCCAACTGTACAGGAAGAGCTTGGTTTAGACACTTAGATTATCAAAGATCATTCATCTCTGATGTTCTACATGTTTACAAAAATCCAGAGACAGGTGGTTTTTGTCTCTAAAGCTGGCCATGTCTCCTCTCCCAACCCTTCTTCCAAGAGTGTGTGAGCCTCCAGTGCCTCCACCTCTTGGCACAATAGTTTAATGTGCCACCCTCCTGAGGAGAGACCATTTATATTTTTAGACTCAGGGAAAAGGGCCCAGGGATAAGCCACAGATTGCTTGGCTCATAGAGTCAAGTTCCTGGAATTAGTCAACTCCACAGACCCATAACCCCCAAAAGTTGAAGATGCCTTTAGCTTTATTAACAGATGAATGACCAAAATGGGGAAGGTGACAGGAACCGGGGGAAGGGGTATGGGGATATCTGTCATAGTCAGGGGCCCTGCAGCCCCTGCAGCCAAGGATCATCTTCCGGTCCCCCAACCTGGTCCCTCTTACCTTCCTGCAGAGCAAGCTCCCCACAGACCCACCTGCCACTCTGCATTCATTGCCTCTTGGTGGGCAGTATGGTTCCCCAGGGTCTTCAGATCTCAAGCTCTTAGAGTAGGCTCTGTCCTGTTGGGGTCCTTACCCCCCACAGCCTGTAAGATCACGATCACCACTCCTCTGCCTGCTCCTTTCTGAGCCTGCTACCTGGGAAGGACCTCCTGCATGGCTCATTCCCTCCCTGTCCCCCCAGGTCCCGAAGAAGCCGCTTGGAAAATTAGGTCTGTTCGGACCTCAGTGCTCTGGGGAGCCACAAGCAGGAAGGAAGGAGGGAATGAAGTAAAGAGAGACCGTAGAGGGGGATGGAGAAAGAGAGGGGAGGTCTTCAGCACTCCGGACAGCTCCAGACCTGTTTGAGGGTGGTTCCCAGGAGGAAGCATGGGCAAGCACTAAAGAAACCCTTAGTTTTTTTGAACCTGTGCCTTGTGCCAGTCCCCATGCTAGGCACCATTCACACAACCCACGGAGACAGCCATAACTATTATCCTCACCTTATAAAGTATGGCCCAGAGAAGTTAGGTGATTTGACCAAGGGCACAGAGCTGGTAAGTGGCAGAGCTGACTGTAGGTCTGACTGTAGGTCCGCTCTGTGCTGGGGTTATGGATACCCCATCTCATTTAACCTTTATAGCAACTTGTGAGGTGAGTACTGTGTTTTCTTTTCTTCATGTTACTTCATTCATCCAATAAATGTTTACTGAGCCTCCTCATCCTGGTTCTGCCAAGGGGCCAGCCTTCCCTCCACCCCCACCTCCCACCCCTAATTCCTGTTGTTTCCCTCTTGCTCCCTTCTGTGTTTCAGGCACTGTTCTAAACACTTGAGCTAAATCAACAAACAAATTTTTAAAAATAATAATAAAGATTTTTCCCCCTCACAGAGCTTACTTTCTAGCAGGGATAGGGAAGGGTGTGTTAGTAAACAAACAATAAACATAAGTAAGTAAGTAGATGTGTTGTTAGTGTTAGAAAGTGAAAAGCGGTATTAAAAAAAGAAGGGTAATAATGCCATATTATAATTCTGTGTAAGTGGTTTTTTTGTTTGTTTGTTTGTTTTTGAGTTTCGCTCTTGTTACCCAGGCTGGAGTGCAATGGCGCAATCTCAGCTCACTGCAACCTCCGCCTCCTGGGTTCAGGCAATTCTCCTGCCTCAGCCTCCTGAGTAGCTGGGATTACAGGCACGCGCCACCATGCCCAGCTAATTTTTTTGTATTTTTAGTAGAGACGGGGTTTCACCATGTTGACCAGGATGGTCTTGATCTCTTGACCTTGTGATCCACCCGCCTCGGCCTCCCAAAGTGCTGGGATTACAGGCTTGAGCCACCGCGCCCGGCCGTAAGTGTTTTTTATATTGCTACACAGTTGTTACAATTTCGTTGGTCAAAGAACACATTGAATGGATGTGTCATTAGTTGGTATGGATGGAAGGATTTACCATCGACCATGATTGATCAAGGGAGTATTAAGGGGCTCCCCCAGTTAGTATATGGGGTCTGGTCATGGTCCTTCCTGACCCCATTGTGAGGTGACAACCACATTTCCTTGTGATAACTGGAATCAATTATTTGGGCTTATGCAGTGATTCCCTTCTCTATCTGTTGATTTAGGGTCCTGAGGATCTCCAAATGGCCAAGGAATAGTTTCAGTTTTCAATTCATTGGAAAAAGTACTGCATTCTCTGGAGGGAGTGTTTCTCTCCTGGGAACTAGGTGCTCCAAACCACCGAATCCAAGATCACAGGCACAGGCAGGAAAGATTCTTCTAGTGAGTTTGTAGGTAATAGTAAAAGAGGCCACTCCTATCTTTCTTCCTTGGTTCCCAGCCGATCCATCCTGACTGCAGGAAGATGGCCCACTTGGCCCCTAGGTACTGCATCCTGGAAGCATGGGATGCCATCTCCTAGCTCATTTGGCAACTGAGCTATTCCCTAATGGACCATTCCACATTTCTGTCAAGCCAAATGCTTCTGGGTGATGGGAGACGAGCCCACTGCTTCAGTTCCTTTGTAGTACAATGCTTCCCCTGGTCAGAGGCAATGTTGTATAGGACAACATAGTAACATACAGGGCACTCTTATAAGACTATAAATGATGGTACTGGAAAAAGCACTGTAGACAAGAAAAGCAACTCTACACAGTTCTATTTCTATCTCTACAAGTAGGAAAAAGGCATTGCTGCTTCTATGAAGGGAGAGATCTAATATAATTAAACTGTCACTAAGTAACTGGCTGACCCCCAGGAAAGGGGTGCCAGTTTTTGGGCTTAGCAGTGACCTCTGCTATCTGCAGGTTGGACACTCAGCGTGGAAGTCACCAGACGAGCCTTGGCGAGTGCAAGCCCATGTTGTGGAAGCAACGCAAGTCTCCATTCTGGCTACCATGACCACATGGCCATTGAGTAAGCACTGAAGGGACTGTGGAAGGAAGCTGACTGATAGCCACAAGTCATCTTGTCCACTAATCTTGAGGATTTCTGTCATGGATGCACACTGGTCAGGCATTATATGGACCATGTATATCTTCACACCCTATGACTGCTCTGAGAGGCATATACCTCATGGACACAAATTTCCAATTTTGCTTATAACAAGATTCTGGCCATCCAGACAGCCCATTGTCAACTGTCCATGAGTCAAAGTCAGTAAGGGACAAAGACCTTCTGTGGTACTTATTTCACTCTCTGTGGTACATTTCACCACAAAAACGGACAACTGGCTGTGCCCCCTGAAATCCTGACCAAGAGGAAGATTTCCTTTCACAACTTGTGTGTCAGGACCAGCCTTGATTGGAGAGGTAATGTGGCTGCCATCCATTTCTGGCTGTGATATTGACCCATGAACCAGAGACACACTTCCTTCTCTACCAACGGCCAATAAGAAATTCCCCATGTATGATTTTGGTATCGGGTTATCAATTGAGGGAAAAGTGACAAAACATAGAAGAAGGTACCACAGCAGTCTGAGCCATCTGCTTGGCCACATATTTGCCACTTCTGTTCTTTGAACGAATGCTTCTGTGCATGGCCAGGCTTCTGATCCAGTGAATCAGATAACTCCTGGCTCAGTGGTCAATTCTGGTAGAACAGTCACTCGGTATTCATTGTCATATTGGGTCTCTACCAGGAGTAGGAGCAAGTCAGAGCTGCCTTTCAAGTGGATAAAAGTTGTTCACAGAAAATAATATATATGGCTTTGTACCCAAAGCCTAGGGATCTGTGTGTGATTCTCCTGCTGGAAGGTGGAGAGGCTCCGTGTCGTATCTCTGTCTGACACAGGTACCACGGAGTCTGTTGGGTCATAAGGTTCAGTGGCAGGGCAACTTGCAGACATCTTCTGTTTGGCCCCCTTATTGCCCTGGGACCTACTGAAAACTGGCAGCTTTCTGGGCTACCTGATAAATAGATCAAGACAACACTCCCAAATGTGGTATGATTAGGTTGATGCAAAACCACAGTTACTTTTGCACCAACCTAATACATTGCTTCCAACATCCAAACAGGCTCATCAAGCACTATATCCCTTTCTACGCAATGTTTGGTACAACATGCCACAACTGGCTTCTCGCATTAGAAAAGGTATTCCACTGGGCCCCTAGGAACTTCACCAATATGACAGCCCCCTGAATTTTTGCAAGGTGTACCTCCTTCTCTCTGGCATGCATCACTAGGATATTTAAAATACTGGCTATCTCCTAAATACCAGCTCCAATTAGCAAAACGACATCAATATAATGAATC